GGTGTGCAGGTGCCTCTGGAGTAACCTGTGTCACAGTCTTTTGGGTATATCCCCAAGAGTGGTATTGCTGGATCATATGGTAGATCAATGTTTAGTAAAGCTCCTCATATTGATTTCTAGCTTTATTTCATCATAGTCAGCAAAGATACATGATTTCATTTTGAATCTTTTTTTGCAGTACTGGGGTTTGAACTCAGGGACTACACCTTGAGGCACTCCACCAGTCCTTTCTTTTTGTGATGGGTTTTTTTGAGATAGGGTCTGGAGAACTGTTTGCTCAGGCTAGCTTCAAACCTTGATCCTCCTGATCTCTGCCTCCTGAATTGCTAGGATTACAGGTGTGAGCTACTGGCGCCTGGCTTTTTTTTTTTTTTTTTAATTTTTGAGACTTGTTTTGTGGCCTAGCATGGTCTATCCTGGAGAATATTCTGTGTACTGATGTGAAGAAAGTGTATGTACAGTACTATGGCTGTTGGAAGAAGGGTTCTATAAATGTGTTAGGTTCATTTAGTCTACAGTATAATTTAACTATGATGCCTCTTTGTTGATTTGTCTGGATGGCAGGGTGAAGTCCCCAGCATATTCTAATCAAGTATGTCTCTCCATATACATCTAATTGTGTTTGTGTTTATGTAATTGGGTATACAGTTTGGGTGCATATATGTTTACAATGGTTAGTTCCTATTTTTTCAAGTTTTTGACTTTACTTCTTTTTGCAGTGCTAAGGATGCAACACAGGACTCAGGACCTCATGCATGCTAGGGAAGTGCTCTGCCACTGAGCACTTCCTCAGCTATTACTTCCTCTTGTTAAACTGATTCTTTTTACTGTCATGTAATGACCTTGTCTCTTTTTATAGTTTTTGACTTTAAAGTCTGTTTTATCTAAGTATAGCTGCATTTTTGGTTTCCATTTGTGTGGTAGGTCTTTTTCCAACCCTTCACTTTCAGTCTATGTGTGTCTTTACTGTCTAATTTCTTATATGAAGAATATGGTTTGATCTAGTTTTTAAAAAACTCCATTCAGGCAGTTTATATCTTTTATAATTGGGCGTTTTTTGTTGTTGTTGTTTTTTTTTTTTTGGTGATGGTGCTGGGGTTTGAACTCAGGACTTCCTACTTGCGAGGCAGGTGTTTTACTACTTGAGCCACAGCTCTAGTCCTTAATTGTGCAATTTAATTCATTTGTATTCAAGGTTATTGTTAAGTAAAGAGATAACTTGTCATTCTGTTAATTTTTCTTGTTTTCTTGATATATTCTTTTTTTTCTTACTGTTATTCTTTATAGTTTGGTGGTTTTCTGTATTGCTAGTGTTTGATTCTCTCTTTTGTGTATCTGCTCTACTATTGAGATTGGTACTTTTGTGTGTTTTTATGATGATAGTTATCATCCTTTTGCTTCTAGTGTAAGACTCCCATAAGCATTTCTTGTAGGGTTGGTCTCTGGTGATTCCTTCCATCAGTTTTTGTCTGGGGAAGTTATTTCTTAAGGAAGCTTTGCTGACTGTAGTGTTCTTGGTTACTGATTATTTTCTTTCAGCATTTGGAATAAATCATTCTATTCTCTCATGGGCTATAAAATTTCTGTAGAGAAGTCTGCTGTTAATCTAATAGGCATTTCCTTATATGTAACTTAGCTGTTTTTAGAATCTTCTCTTTGTTTTATACTTTTGACAGTTTGACTCTAATATGCCTTGGGGAGGATCTCTTTTGGTTGAATCTATTAGAAGCCTTTTAAGCTTCTTAGATCTGGATGTCCACATAGTTCCCAAAGTTTGGAAAGTTTTCAGCAATTAATTTGTTGGAATTAGTTTTCTATGCTTTTGTCTTCTTCTTCTTCTGTGTGTTTTATTTTGTTTTTGGAGGCACTGGGGTTTGAACTCAGGACCTCATGCTTACTAGGTAGGTGCTCTTACCACTTCAACCACTCCACCAGCCGTCTTCTTCTTCTGGAAAGCAAAATTTTTCTTGCTTAATAATCCCACAAATCCTGAAGTTCTTTTCAATTTTTTTCCTTTTCCTTTTCTTTTGTAGTACTGGGGTTTAAACTCGGGCCTTGTGCTTGTGAGGCAGGTGCTTCACCACTTGGGCCATGCCTCAGCTCTTTTCTACTTCAGTTATTTTTCAGGTAGGGTCTTACATTTTTGCCTAAGGCCAGCTTTAGATCATGATTTTCCTACATCTGGTCTCCCATACAGCTGGGATCACAGGCACATGTCACCATGCTTGGCTTATAGATTGAAGTGGGATCTTGCTAATTTTTTGCTCAGGCTGGCCTTGAACTGCCATCCTCCCAATCTCCACTTTCTGAATAGCTGAGATTAAAGGTGTGAACAACTGTGCCCAACTTCAATTTTTTTCTTTTAAAAATATGACAAGATCATTGCAGAAGATCTGTCTTATAGTTCAGAAGTTCTTTCCCGCATCAATTTTGCTGAAGTACTCAACTGTATTTTTATTCCATTTATTGAGTTTTTTTGCACCGTGATTTCTGATTGGCTTTTTTTAACGACCTCTATCACTATTGAATTTCTCATTTATATCATGACTTATTTTCCTAATTTTGTTGAACTGCCTATCTATATTCTCTTATATCTTATTGAGTTTCCTTAAATTCATTCTTTGAATTCTTTGTCAGGCAATTCATTGATTTTCTTTTCTTTGAGGTCTATTGCTAGGGTGTTATTGTGTTCCTTTGGTGGTGTTATGTTACCTTATGTTTTTCAGGCTGCTTGTGTCCCTATGTTGGCATTTGTGGATCTGGCAGGGTACTTGACTCTACCAGTTTTACAGGGTGGCTTTGTAGTAAAAACGTTTCTGTTGGTGAGATGTCCTGTGGTGTCATTTGGATATTCTGTGTTGGCTTTGGTTTCGAGTGAGTGTTCTAGTGTAGTATACATCCATGTTCTTCAGCTATAATCCATGTTGGTGATGTCTAATTAAAGTGTCCTTTCTGGCTCCCCTTGGGTCTTAGGAATTACACAATAATGAGATGATCTGATAAATAACCACCTCATAAGATAACCAAATAAGTAACAATCATGATAACATTTTAATGAAGACAGCAATATCAACTAACATTTCCTGTATAATTACTAGGTGTGAAAGGGAAGTAGATAAGAGAATGGATTCTGGAATCAGACTGTGATAAAACCTAAGAAACAGTGACTCTTGGACAAGTTGTTTAACTGATCTATACTTCAGTTTTTTTCATTTGTAAAAGTAGAGTGATAGTATATACTCATTAGGGAGGTGAGGATTAAATTAGTTAATATGTCTGTTCTGTGCTTATTCTAATCATTTCCACATTATAATAGGTAACATTTGTTGAGCTCTTATAATGAGTTAAGCACCTCATGTATCATTGCCACAACTACCCTTTAAGGGAGGTATTATTATTATCTCCATTTTGTATATAAGGACACAGACCAAGAAGTTAAGCAAAGTACTAAATTTGAGCACTGACAGCAGGCATTTAATAAGTGACTTTGAACTGGAATTAAACGAAATGTAGAATTTTGTGCATCCTTTGTTCCCACTGATGGATGGACAGGATAATATAAAGGGACCATCTACTGAGAAGCATTAGAATATTTTTACTCTGTCGGTGGTATTCCGCATTTTTAGTCTAAGTGGGATACCAGAATGCTTTGAAGAAGTATGAACTGAAAAGATCAATAATGATTACATTTAATTTCTATAATGCAGTGACAAAAGCAGATTGAGGGTTTATTTTTAATAGTGTTTACTGGAATAAATTCATATACTTGCAGGTGTGAATGTTTCTTCATTCTTTAGTGTTCAGTCCAAAAACTGCCTTGGGAGGTCTGAACTTGCTGTACCTCATTACCTGTCAGAAGACTTGTTGGGTCCCTGGTGGCTTTAGTAGGTATGGAGTGTCTTGTATCCCACCCTGGATTTTTAAGCCCACTTGAAATCATCCCTGGAAGTCTTATTCTGCTGGGATTCTGTGGCCCGGGGTAGGTATGGCTGAAACTTTTTGCCTACAATGAGACCTTGAGATAGTCTGAGGTCAGGCTTGCAATTTCAGAGTCAGGCAGGAATGTTGTAGCACATTGCCCAGATACTGTCGATGTTTTGGGCCAAACTCTGTGGAGTAAGAAGTTAGTGAAATATCTTCAGAAAGCTGCTTTTGTCTATTTTCTTGCCACTTACCTTACTATCTCCATTATAGTCTTTCTGGGGAGGGCTGAAGTCTCTACAAGCTTTGATAGGATTTCAAATAATAGGATCCCTGGGTTTCCAGCAAAATCTAAACAGGTTTTCTTTTCTGGAACTATAGAGGGAACAAGAGATAGATTTCAAAATGCCTTCTGAGCAAACCATCTATTGAAAAAGAAATAATAGTCTTTTTACTGAGTATTTATAATAATAATATAAAGTCAGTGACTAGAGATATAGTAAAACATTGAAAATCTGTTCAATTTGGTAGAAATGTCATTTTGATTATTGAGTAGACAGAATAATAACTGAATATAAAATACTTGTATTTTAATGACTAAGTAAATACAGTAATACTTTAGACATAAGCATAAATTATTTGTTAAGGACTATTGTCTTTTTCTTCTATGCAAAGGAATTGATAATCTCTGGTTTGCAGGGAAACTTTCATTACTACCATAGTATTTTTAGGCAGTAATTTTTCTTCATCTCATTACACTTCATAGCTTAGGAATGGGTGTGTGTTCAAAACTGTAACAAGGATTTGTGATTTGTAATGTATTTATCCTATTAGATGCAATATGAATAGTGGTTACATTTTCCAAGGCAAGCCTGTTAAACTCATAAACAAACTGTGAGGGTACCAATAACAGCATTTCAAGTGTACCTACATAACATGTACAGCCTTATGTGGGAACATTTCTCTAACCTCCAGCAGAGTCTCCATTCCTTACCCTGAGTTAGAGGCTTCATTACTGCGAGGAAGGTATTTCAAGAACAATAAATTATCTATGCCCCAAATCTGTATGGAGGAGAGCTTTTTCCTTTTCCTAAAGAAATGTTTTTTTTTCCTTTTGTAAGAGTAATGACTTTGAAAATAGTACACTTGATAAGGAATTAAAGCACTATGAAAGGAGAAAAAATTTTTTTTCTACATCTGTCTTTTCTTAGTGTCTCACTAGAGACAAATGTGCAGTGTCTCCTAGAGGAGATAGCACCAGTATCCGCTTGTTATATTTAAGTTATAATTCTAAAATTCCATCAGTTTGCTTAACAAATATTGTTTAAGAGAAGCAAAAATAAATCACATCCCAGACTATACCTTCTTGATTTGTCTCCTGGTTGGAGACCTAAGTAAATGTTTACTCATGGTGGTAGCTACCCAACTGCCTTCTATCCAGTGACATCTCTACTCACCCACAGCCCTAAGGAAGCGGTCCTTATCTGTTAGTACCTTTATAAAGTCTGAGAAGTTCACTTTCCCATCTCCTGCAATAGAAATCTAAGTGAGAACAAGGATAAGGTATATTTTAATTACTAGGTATATTAAGTATAAAAGTTAAAGCACCCTGGACCACTTAATACTTAAAATCAGAGCATTTAGGGCTGGAGAGATGGCTCAGGTAAGCACTGGCCACTGTCTTCTCTTCCTCCTCCTGCTATTTCTTCTCCTCCTTTTTTAAGACAATGTTCTACCATGTAGCCCAAGCTGGCCTTGAACTTGCATTCCTCTGTCCCAACCTCCTGAGTGCTAGCATGAGTCTTCTTGAAGTGATCTTAGCACTTACACTAGTCTCCCTCATCCCACAGAAGCAATGGTGGGGTAAAAACATTCAGCCAGGGGTTCCTAGCCACTGCAGTCCTGTCCATCCACTCCTTTTCCAGAGATCTGCCATTTTTACGAGGAATCCACTCAGCTTTCCCACTGCACATTCACATCTGTTATTCCTATTAGAACATATCCAAACTGAACCCCACTTCCTCTAAAAATTAAAGGATAGAGAGTGCTATTAGAGGTGTCTGTATGTGTGTGTTTCCATAAAATAATAAAAAACGTGCATAGTTAGTTGGAAAAAATAATACATTAATTGGTGAATTGAAATGTACGTGGAACTGGTGCTTATTGAATGGGCCCGAGTAGCTGGCTGAGGAGCTGAGAGGACATAATGTGCTGAATCTATTTGCCACACACGTCAGCTTGGACTGCTTATCATTACATCAGTACATTCAATAAAACATGAGCTGAATGCTGAAAAATATTAACAAAAATTCTCTGGCTGGTGGGTCCTCATGATGCAAGGAAGATTTATACTGGTATGATCCAAATGAAAATGAAGGGCTTGGCAATGTGTCATTTTCTGAAATTGTTTATATCTTTGAATCTGTTATTTCAGGGCCTCCTCTAAAATGAACATCTTGACAGGTACCTGAATTTGATATTTAAAGCACATAGTCACTCTTTTTTTTTTTTGTATCTTTATTTATATTTATTTATTTATTTTAATTTTTATTTTATTCATATGTGCATACAATGTTTGGGTCATTTCTCCCCCCTGCCCCACCCCCTCCTTCTCCCACCCCCCGGCCCCTCCCTCTTCCCCCCGACCCCCTCACTACCCGGCAGAAACATTTTGCCCTTATCTCTAATTTTGTTGAAGAGAGAGTATAAGCAATAATAGGAAGGAACAAGGGTTTTTGCTGGTTGAGATAAGGATAGCTATAC